TCTCGTGAGTAACAGAATTGTTTATTAATTTGGCTTCCCCCAGGCCCATGGGCCATGTGAAGCTCAGAAAGCATTGATACACACACACACACACACACACACACACACACACCACACATACACAACAACTAGGAAGGAAGGAGAACAGCCAATCTTTTTCTTTTTCTTTCTTTCTTAAGGTTTCTGTAAGGACTCTGATGGGTGGGATTTTGATGGGTAAGGGGAAAGGGAGTGGCACTGATGAGGGGGAAGGAGCCAGGGATGCTCAGCTGTGGGCCCTTAGGAGGCCTTCCAGTTACAGAAAAGCAAGAAGGCTGGAGGGGTAAGTTGGGTCCCAGGTGAGAAGCTGAGATTTCTTCGTGGGTAAGGGTTACTCTAGAGGTGTTTGACAGGGAGAAATCACACACACACAGACACACACACGCACACACACTCTTCAATTTGATCTAAGAGAAGTCAGGTTACAGGGCACAGCCAGGGCAGCTCGTAAAGAAATCCCCAAGGGCAGCTTGTGGGAGGGGTGGTGCAGGACAGATGTGGGGGGCCAGGGCTTTCCCAGCTGATTAGATTACACAGATCTCAGGCCACTTACAGCCTTAGCCAAGGAGCCTTTTGCTCCCTTGCTCCCAACCCTCTCTCCTCAGGGCCTCACTGGGGCCCCCCTAGGGCCCTGGGTCAGGGAATGTGAAATCTGAGGTTTTCCAGGAGCCTGGGCCCTGCAAGGATGGAAACTTCTCTACCTCCACTGCCCCAGCCTCTCCTCCAGGTGCTCCACTGCAGCCCCGGCACTATCCTTGCTTCTGCTCTTGCCCCCTTCAGCTATGCTTTATACAGTACCCAGAGTCAGCTTTTACATTAGATCATGTCTTTTCCCTGATTAAAAACTTCAACACCTGTTCCTGCTTCTAGAACTCCAGTCTCCTCACCATGCCTTATAAGGCCCTGCCTGGGCTTCCCTCTGCCCACCCCTCCGCCCTCCCTTCCACCCTCCCTCCCTCACTGAGCTCTGGCCACCCTGATCTTCCTGTTCCTCGTGGAGGTCAAGCCCTTCCAGTGTCCCCACTGCCTGCAGTGCTCCTGCCCAGGCCTTTAGAAGGTCAGCTCCTCTTCCTCATTTCCCTCCTGGGTCAGACACCACTTTCTCGGAGAAGGCTTCCTGGAGTATCCTACCCCTCCTCCCAGTGATTCCCTCTTGTAGGGCTTCTCAAAGCGTTGTGCTGTATGAGCAGCATCAGTGTCATCTGACAACTTGCTAAAAACAGGAATTCTTTCGCTTTACCACAGACCCACTGGACCAGAAGCTCTGGGACTGAGCCCTGCAATCTATCCCTCAATGAGCCTTCCCGGCAATTCTGAGGCATCTGAGGTTTGAGAAGCACCATTCTATCATATCATCAGATGATCACCTTCTGACTCTTCTCATCCTTTGCCATTGTTTGTTTATTTGTCTTATTTATCTGTCTCTTTTCACTGGACTGTAAGCTCAATCATGGTGGGGACTTTGTAATTCTCTTGTAGTATAGCTCCAATATGTTGGACAGCACTTGGTATTTGATAAGTATTTTTTTGAATAAGTGAAAGAGTAAATGGATGAATGGATGGACAAACTAGGAGAGTGAGGAGAAATGCATTAAGGGTAATGCTTTCCTGGATTAAAGGTAATTCATTTTCTCTGGGACCAGTTGAGGTTAAGGAGCTGGTGGGGTCTCATGGGGCTGATGTAGGTGGCAATGTCCCTCTTCCCACTGTTTATTCCTTATCAGCTACTTTACTCCCGGGGAGTGATCTACATAATAATATGGGGCAGGGTTCCAGGCTGCGGGGACTTGGGAGATGTCTGCGCTCAGGCAGAGGGGAGAATTCTGAACTCAGAGGGTCCTAGCCCAGTCAGAGGAGAAGCCAAGTGGTCAGAGCAACTCCCCAGTCCCTCACTTGCTAGGAGATCCTGCTTCCTTGGCTGCACAGTGGCACTTGCATGAGGCAGAGGGAGAAAGCAATCATGAAACCCTGGAAGAGGATCTTTAGAGGGATGGTATAGGCCCGGCACAGTGGCTCAGGCCTATAATCCCAGCACTTTGGGAGGCTGAGGTCAGAAGATCACTTGAGCCTAGGAGTTCAAGACCAGCCTGGGCAACATGGTGAAACTCTGTCTCTACAAAAAGTAAAATAAAATAAAATTAGCCAGGCTTGGTGTTGCATGCCTATAGTTCTGGCTTCTCAGGAGGCTGAGGCTGGAGGATCACTTGAGCCCAGAAGTTCAAGGCTGCAGTGAGCTATGATCACACCACTGCACTGCACTTCAGTTTGGGCGGGTGACAGAGCAAGACCTTTTCCCTCTAAAAAAAAAAACCAAACAAAAAGACAGTATAAACAGCCCTTGCATCATACACGGGCAAAGGGAAGAGGGGAGAGGGAGAGAGAGAGAGACAGTATTGGAGGGAGTACAGCATAGTTCTTTTCATAGAATGGGACTAATAAAGACTGCTGTGGTGCCTGCTTCCCTTTTCCCCAGTGTCTCTTAACTCCCCTGGAGACTTCTGCTCCCTGAACAGAATGACCGCGGTGACCCTCAGCAGTGCCCTGTTGCTCACCAGAGGGTGAGGCAGACTGGTGTATGACAGTGGTGAGCGTGCCAAGCCACTGGTGGAGGAAAGCCTGCTCCCTGAGCAACATGCCCACCCCTGTTTCGGTGGCCTAGGGAGGGGAACAGAGATGCCCCGCTGGGTCAGAGCGGGAGGAACAGGGCCACTGGGTCAGAGCGGGAGGAACAGGGCCTGAAGAGTCTAGTCTGGGATCCAGCCAGGGCAGCTCTGCTGGCTAAGAAAGAGGAGAGGAGCTGGAGATATTTATCTGGTCCTGCCCACAGAAAGCCCACACTCAGGGGGCCTGGCTCCACCCCTGGCATTCAAGGTCCTGTCTTGCTCACCAGCTCTTAGTCGCCTCACATCTGTCACTGCAGCCAGGCTGGCTCCTAAGTGCCCACCCACCATGCTCCATGCTTTTCATTTCCAGCTTTTGTTGGTGATAGCTCACCCCTGCCACCAGCTGTTCTTGTTGCTCTGTCCTGCTACACTGTAGTTTTCTGGAAGGTGAAGAGGGAGCCTGATTTCTCTCTGGGTCCCTTGTAACACCTCCCCAGGGCTGGTATAGAATTGGTGCTCCATGAAGCGGCATTAAGCAACTGCATAAGCTTAGGTCTCCCCTTCCCTGATGGAGCTCCCTCTCCACCCTCAACCCTCCTCTTCTGAACATTTGCTGTGCTGCCTTCATTCCCCTCCTTCAGCACTGAAGCCCTGAATTCTGTCTACCCACTTGGGCACTGACTCCTCGCAGCCCAGCACAGAGCTTGTCACACAATGTACTGGTTGATGGAGGATGTCCTCCTTTATCCTGCCCCATCCCCCAGAAGTACACACAATGGATTTGGAGAAGGGCAGAGCCCATGGGAGAAAGAGGCCGGTTCAATCCCCTGCCTTGTCTACCTGGGGCTAGCATACCACACGCATGCCTTTCCCTGCTGCCATGGCCTTCTCTCCCTCCTCTGACCCTTCTACCACCCTGGACCCCTGCAGGATTGGCCTGGAGAAGAAGCAGGTGAGGAAGAGTGTATGGGTTCCCAGGCTGCCTGCCACCTCCCTGTGACTCCAATCTCTTGAATTCCCCCACTCATACAGGCTCTGCCTCCTCCTGCTGAGTTCCCACTGTCCCCTACCCCCACCCCCCCCAACCCAGGCCGGTGGCTGGGTCCCACCCCCACCTTCGATGGGTGAGTTGATGAGGATGACGCGTCCCATGGGCGATGAGGCTCGGATTCCGCGGGGGGGCCCGTTCAGCAGCCGTTGCTGCTTCCTTAGCAAGTATCGCGTTGCGGTGGAGCCTGAGTCGCTGCCTAGGTGGCCTCGGGAGGAGAGGGAGCTCAGAGAGCCGGAGCTTAGGTCTCCTAGGCCCAGTGGGTCGAAGCCCACTGCGAAACCCTGCGCCATGGCGGCTGGGCTAGGGCGGCACCCTACAGGTCCAGAAGGAATCTGCTAGCTCTGGAGAGGCCAGCCCCGCTTGCTTCGAGCTCCATGAGCCTCTCTGCGGGGATGGGGTCTCAGTAACGTGAAGGCCCTTGCTTGTGATGCTTCTCAGCAGTGTGAGCTCCAGGCCTGGGCAGGGAGAGCAGGGATGAGGGAGGGGTGTAAATGTTTCCCCTGCTGCCCTCCAAAACTTCCACCCCTCCCTGCTGGTTTAAGCATCCTGCCCTCCCATGCCTTAGGCCCCCCTCCTGTCTCACCCCAGACCAGAGAACTGCCCCATCCAGGCACCATCGTGGACTCTCGCTGACTTTATACAAGACAGGTGGGAACCTTTCACCCCTCATTGCTGCTGGCGGCTGAGTCATCTACTCCCGTCCTCAGTCCTCAGTAGAGGTTGAGAGTGGGGTTGGGATTACTAAGGGCGCTGGGGCTTAGAGCGGTGTGAGACAAAAGAGAGGTCGAGACAGCTCATGGCATCACCTCTCTCCTGCATATGCGGGTATGGGGGTGGTCCGGGATAGGGTGGGGGCGGCGTGGGGCGGGCTGGGCCTCGAGGACAGGGCTTCAGGACCTTAGACAGCTGAGGCCGAGGAAGCCCCCCAGACACCCGCGGACTCCAGGCTGCGGCTCCGGGTCTAAAGAGTCTGCACGAACCTCTCCCAAGCTTGCGGGGAGGATCCGCTGGAGAGGGGTCCCACGACATCCCGCGCAAAACCCAAGGCCAATTCCCTCAGAGAAGCTCTGGAACCCAGAATGAAGCACCCCAATATCAACTCGGCCATCCAGGCCCCCCACCCCTTTGTGCCTGGTCCCCCTCACCTGGTCGCTGCTGTGGCGCCGCCAGCCTTGTCAAACCACCCTCCCGCGAGAGCTACTGTGGCAGTCTGCAAACCCCACCCACGCTCCGCGGAGGCTGCGGGAATTGCGCTGGCCTGCACCGCCCTGGGCTCCCATTGGCTGGTAGGGCCGTCAGTCATTCTATTCCGACACCTCCCTTGCGCTCCAGGGACAGACTGGTGTTACCTGGTCCCGGGCAGCGGAGTTCTTTACCCACCCCAGTTCTGGTTCTGACGCCCTAGTTCATCCCGCAAATTTAGGACTTGGGTCTCGGCTTGTTCCCCTCCCGCTAGAAGCACCCCTTCTCTGAGCCAAGACAGCTACCTGGGCTCCTGGAATTGCCACCCCTCCGTGGGCACCCTTGAGGCCTCCGTGGGGGGACGTCACCGGGCAGAGCGGGACGTGAGCCTGCGTTTGCTGCAGGCGTGCTCTGTGTGGTGACTGGGTGAGTTGTGAGTATGTGTGTGGCGGAGGCGGTGCCTTCTTCACTTGCATCCTCCTCCTCTGTCAGAAGGCGTCTCAGGCTACCCAGTTCTGGAATGGTCGCAGGCAGCTGGTCCCTGGACGGGAAGAATCCTAAGAATCCTTCTGATGCACTTATTCGGATGCAGACCGCGAGGTTCCTGGGGTCGTCTGCCCCTCCACATCCCAGGGGTGGGGCTACAGTCTGGGGTGCAGCGAGAGGGGTTGGGAGTGTAAGGAGACCAGGGACACAGTGGAGCTAGGGGTTACAGAGGAAGAGCAGGGAGAGGGCTGGGGACATAGAAGGGGCACAGGCACGACAGGAACAGGGCTGTGAAGTGATGCGAATGTCGCGCTGCTACAAGAGGAGCTTGTGGATACTAGGGTAGTAGCCCAGGGGGGCAAGCAGCCAGAGGCCATTGCCAAGGCAGCCATCAAGTAAACAAGCCAGGTGGTAACCCGAGTCCCTCCCGGCGCGCCAGCAGAGGACCGCCCCTCCACACTGTCCACCTGCACCCTGGGCTTTCTCTCTGGGCACCTAGACCTCTTGCTGCAGGGCTGGGGGTCTGCTGAGGCCCGCCAGGGGGCTGTAAACAAAGGGAGCAGCGCCCTCAGCTCCAGCCCCTCCTCCCTCTGGCTGGGGAGGGGGCCAGAACTGATCCCCGAGGTGGGATTGGCTCTGGGAAGCAGCTTAGGGCCTGGTCCCGGTGGCCCAGGCCGGGGTGGGGGGGATCGCCTCGAATGACACCCACCTCCCCCAGTTTCTGCCAATCCCCGTGCCCACTGGGTGGGCGCGGCCGGGAAGTTCCTGCCCCTCCCTGCTGGTCGGCGTCACGCGTGACGTCCCGCGTGATGGCTGGGAGGGCCCGGCGGCGACAGCGGAGGCAGAGAGGAAGGCGGTTCTGAGAGCTTCAGGGAGCCCTGGAAAGCGTAAGTGCTCGCTGTCCCTAGCTGGCGGGATTCGGGAATGCGGGTCAGAGAAGGAAGCCTGCCTTGAAACTATCTGTCCTGGTGCAGTCAATATTTTCGGCTCTATGGAGGTCCACAGGGCACAAGGGAGGTTGCAGGGAGGAATGTCAGGGTGGGGCTGTGTGTAGTCACACATTCAAGTGTCTGCAGATGGGCACAATGTGCACCTGTAACAGTCTTTGAGGGCCGGTGTTACAGGACACCTCCACTCTGTCTGTATGTCTGGGCAGGGTGTGCATGATGGTGTCTTTGTGTGTGGGTATGTGAGTGTGAGGGGAGGGCGTGTCTGCCTCTGCGGGAGGAAGTGTGGCTGGAGAGGATTAGTCATTCTGTAGGATTCTGCCCAACTCAGCCAGATGGCTGCACCAGGTTTTCCTCTCTGTGCTGGATGGAGGGAGCAGCCACTGAATCCTGCTCTTATCCGGAAGCAAGTGGTTCAGAGAGGTGGATGAGTGTCTGTGCCAGCCCTACCTGGCCAGGGACCAGGGAGAGCCTGGAGTCATTCAGTGTGAGTTGGAGAAAATGGATCTGTAGAGGGGACTTGTGTGTGCCCACATGCACACACATGGCTGACATCAGAGTTCCCTGATTGAGATCTGAAACAGATAAGCCCTGGGTGGCCAGTAAGGCCTTGCTCTCCTCCAATCAGGGACTGGAGTGTGGGATGTCTTATGCCATTTTCCAAAATAGCCTTGGGGATTTGTATCCAGGTCTCAGGGCAGCTGGGACCTAAAGCTCACCTGAGCATGGGTGTGTAATATATATGTTATATATTCTTGTGTGTCTGCAGTACACGTGGCTGAGATGTTTGTTGCTGCTCATGTGTCAACCACATACATGTAAATCCTCCCTCATGAAAATCTGTACCAGGATAGAGCACAAGGAGATCTGTTTTCCTGTTTCTGGTCTTCCCCTCCCCTTCCTCCAGTGGCTGCAGGTCCCTGGGCGGGGACATTGCTGAGGAAACAGCTCCTTCCCACACCCTTGCTTTCCTTTCTGGTCACCTTGAGCTCATAAAGGGACTGATGATAAGCTCAGGGGCCAGGGCAGGGGCACCAAAATTTCCCCTAGCTGGAGCCCTTGGACCCTTGGACTCCCGCTCTGACCCTTGTGTCTGTCCTGCAGAAAATGGGTGAATTGCCTTTAGACATCAACATCCAGGAACCTCGCTGGGACCAAAGTACTTTCCTGGGCAGAGCCCGGCACTTTTTCACTGTTACTGATCCTCGAAATCTGCTGCTGTCCGCAGCACAGCTGGAAACTTCTCGGAACATCGTGCAGAACTACAGGTGACCACCCCCTAGTCTGACACTGTGTGCCAGGATCTCCTTTTCTGGGATTAATATAGTATGTCTTGTACCTGCCTCCTCAAGCTTGACAGTGACCCTGTCCCTCAATCCCCTCACTCTCTAGCCCCCTCTGTTGGCCAGAGCTTTAACCCAAAGGATTTTAGAGCATTTGGGTTGAGAAGATGGCACTGATATTTATGGGAAGGGCTGCTCTATGTTTCACAAACCTCTACAGGGACCTATCCCATCGCTGGGTCACCATCTGCAAGGATAGAGGTGCTCAAAGTGGAGTCCCAGGAAGATAGAAGGGAATTCCCCTTATCTTTGGGAGGAAAAACTCTTGCAATGCTCGCAGCCATTTTTGACCCACTGGAAACCACCATCACCCATGACCCAGCATTTTAGCAGAAACGGAAGGATACCCCTCTTCGTGTGGCTAGAAGGGAAATAGAAATAGGAGCCTCCACTTCTGGGAAACTTTGGCCCTCCTCCAAAGACAAGGAGCTCCCTTATGCTGAGACTAGAGGCTGAAGTTCCTGGTTCTCTGTCCAGAGTTACCCTGAGCTGGGCAGATGGGGCCTGTGAGGGTAGATCTGCCCCCTGGCATAGCTTGTCTGCTCCTTGCCAACTTCTGCAGGGCTGGCGTTGTGACCCCAGGGATCACCGAGGACCAGCTGTGGAGAGCCAAGTATGTGTATGACTCTGCCTTCCATCCGGACACAGGGGAGAAGGTGGTCCTGATTGGCCGCATGTCAGCCCAGGTGCCCATGAACATGACCATCACCGGCTGCATGCTCACCTTCTACAGGCAGGTCTTGTCCCATGTCCCCTTCTTGAGTGCCCTAAGCTAGAGCACAGCTTGACTAGGTGCTTCTTGTCTGGGCCAATTTGGTGAGTGAAAGATTGTGTTAGAATCCCTTCCATTCCTCAGAATTCAGCCTCAGCAGTTCTCTCACCCCAGAGACAGTAGGTGTGTTTGTATAAATGGGGGTGGGGGTACATAGGGGTTACCAGAGCAGGTTCTACGGCCATCAACTGGGTCCCTTCTTAGGCTTGAGGAATAATTTGGTTTCATTACAGCGGTCTAAAGATGAGGGCCACTGTACGGGGGGCAGAAGTGAGTGTCTTTGTTCCCTCAGGAAGACCCCAACTGTGGTGTTCTGGCAGTGGGTGAATCAGTCCTTCAATGCCATTGTTAACTACTCCAACCGCAGTGGTGACACTCCCATCACCGTGAGGTGAGAGCCGGCCCCCTGCAGCAGCTGCACTGTCCCATCTGACCCTCTTCTCCCAGCCCACAGTGCCCTCTCCTTTCTCTCCCGCTCCCTGCAGTCCCTGCAGCCAGTGCTCAGCGCTCTCTCCTCAGCCTGCCCCACCCCGACTTACCCTGTCTAACTGAAAGCATGAGGTCCTCTTATGCATGCTGTGGGGGACCCACCCCTCTTCACAGGGTGTGATTGGGGCTTCCAGACAAGTTTACGCTGGAGATGGAGGGAGGGCTTCCTCTGCAAGAAGCTTCCCCTTTTATGCCTCATGTATTGAGGACTTGGCATATCCCTAAAGGAAAGGGCCACCTGCTGGACTCTTCACCTCTCCCCGTGACCTGGCTCTTCCACCCACAGGCAGCTGGGGACAGCCTATGTGAGTGCCACCACTGGAGCTGTGGCCACGGCCCTGGGACTCAAATCCCTCACCAAGGTAAAGGCCCCCTACTCCCCTGACCCCCCCATTCATCCTCTATCTGCCTCCTCCTTCCTCATCAAGCCTCCAGTCCTGACCTATAGGCCCCCTATATCTCCCCAGAGTCCCTCACCACCCCATGGCCCTCAGGGCCACTGAACAACACCCTTCCTCCGCAGCACCTGCCCCCCTTGGTCGGCAGATTTGTGCCCTTTGCAGCGGTGGCAGCTGCCAACTGCATCAACATCCCCCTGATGAGGCAGAGGTGAGTGACCCCGGCTCCTGGCACGTGCATGCCCGGTATAATGTAGCACAGTGCCCAACCATGCAGACCACCTCAGAATGGGCACATCCCTCTCCCTCCTCAGACATGAGCTGCTGGGCCCTGGCTCAGTCTGACCCTGGGATCCTCAGATGGGAGAACCAGCCTTTGAGTCTGGGGTGTGTGAGGGAACCCTGAGGAGCCGCTGCCCATTCAGGCATTGCAGGCAGGATCCGGGGCCTGTGATCTGACCCTAACCCTGCTCCCTTCACAGAGAGCTGCAGGTGGGCATCCCGGTGGCTGACGAGGCAGGTCAGAGGCTTGGCTACTCGGTGACCGCAGCCAAGCAGGGAATCTTCCAGGTGGTGATTTCAAGAATCTGCATGGCGATTCCTGCCATGGGTAAGGCAGGAGTGGCTGGGTGGGGCACAGGAGACTCTGAGAGAAGCAGGTGCAGTTCTCAGGGACTTTGGAGGGCTCTAGGGAGAGAGGGAGGAGCTTTGAGGGGGGTCACCCTTCACAGTTCCTGACTTTGACTCCACTACTAACGCTCTCCTTCTTGGCCCTGCTCTCCCCACAGCCATCCCCCCACTGATCATGGACACTCTGGAGAAGAAAGACTTCCTGAAGGTAGGCAACTGTACCTCTCCTGTCCTGGAATGGGGGATGGCTGGGAGAAGAAGTGACCAGGCCCCAACCCTCTCTCCAGCCTGGTCTGAGTCTCTAAGACTTGCCAGCCGTTCTCCTGACCCCTGCACCACCTCCTCCACCTTCATTCATTCAGCAAGAATGAACTGGGCTGGGGTGAAGGAACACTGCGGGGGCAGGAGGAGAGGACGAGGGAAGGAAACCAACTTCATCAGTGTTACTCCAGGGGCTTCTGATACACAAAGGAGGGGACTGTCATAGTCACACTTGATCTTATGCTCATTCTTTCACTCCCTAGTGCCTCCATACTAAGAGGTACACATGGGTGCACACACACACACACACACACACACAGAGACATGAACAGGACACGAAAGCAAAGCACAGGAACAAGCTCTGGCTCATTCACAGAATAATTTATTCACAAATGTATTGAGTGCCATGCACCAGGGATGTTTTAGGGCTGAGGAGACAGCACTGAACAAGACGGTTATGGCCCCTGTCCTCCTGAAGTTGATAGTCTGATGCAGAAACCAATAAACAAGGAGGCACCCAATAAATACATTCTTAGAAAGTGTAATATGTATGTGCTTTGTAGGAAAGCAGTGGGACAGTGTAATTGAGATTCATGGGGGAGAGCTGTTTAGACAGGATGGTCAGAGAAGGGGTCTCTAAAGCCCCGAAGGATGAGGAGAGAGGCAAAGAATGCAGAGAAGAGTGTTTGGAGTAGAGAAAATAGTCAGTAGCAAGGGCGCTGCAGCAGGAGGGGCTTGCACATTTGAGGAACAGGTTGGTGGTCCCTATGGCCAGAGCAAATTGAGAAGAGTGCCGAGGAAGAGACATGCTTGGAAAGGGTCAGATTCATGCCACTGGGATGGGAAGAGGTAAGTGGAAGTTCAGAGGAAGTTTCCTGAAGAAATCAGCTCCTGGAGGAAGTGAGGGAAGAAATAAAAGGGCCGGGGAGTGCCATGGCAACCAGTTCTGAGAGGTGAGAATGTGTCATGGGGTGCCAGGGAGGGTAATCAGCATATAGGCCCGGCTGGAGTGGAAGGGTGCAATCTAAAGGTCCCAGCCCTGTCATTGCTTTGGGAGAAAGAAAAGGGTCACAGGTCTAAGGGCTCCAAGGCAAGGCTGATGGGACAGAGCCATGGTGGGTGAAATGGGGTGACAGTGAGGCAGGGGACACAAGCCATTCCATTGTCTCTCTGTCTCTCCACAGCGCCGCCCTTGGCTGGGGGCGCCCCTGCAGGTGGGACTGGTGGGCTTCTGGTAAGTATGCAAGGAATTAACTGGGGTGTGTGGGAGTGCTTTGTCCATGGTGGATGTGGGTAGGTATGAATTGTCTTTAAGATGTTTATAGACATCATCCATTCATACATTCAGTGGGTGTGTGTTTTGAACACCTATCGGGTCTACTTTGTGTGTTGGGGGCGGTCCCTGTCCTTGAAGGTCAAGAGTTTAGTGAGGGGGTTCCAGTCTTCATCTATAAGAGGAAACCATGGAAATGTACCTTCTGGTGCCATCCAGGACATTCATGCCCATTTAATTCCTGATTCTGCCACTTACTGGCTGTGGGGCTCTCTTTCCTCAGAACCAGATGTCCAGGTTGGGTTTACTATTCCTAAAAGGTCCTTTCAGCTTTTATCAATCTCCACCCTTAGGAGCTATCTCCAAGGATGGAGTGGGGTGTAGGGAGGGAACACCCTAAGGTCAAAGCTTTACAAATCTTTCCACTCGTCTCCCCCAGCCTGGTATTTGCGACCCCCCTGTGCTGTGCCCTATTCCCCCAGAAGAGGTAAGTGCTGTCCCTGGGCTGGGCGGGGGACTCTGGATTGGACTCTGCATCTCTGGGCCAGCTGACCTAGGGTCCTCCAGTGTGTTCAGGAGGCGGCCTGGCAGGCACTCCACGGATTCTGGGAGTGGGGGAATGACAGTGAGCCAGTCCTTCTGGCAGTAGAAGGAGAGGATTCTTCAGCCTGGGAGGAGGTGGGATGGCAATCCCTGGGCCTGAGTGGGGTTGGATTCGGGGGACATTAACCGGCCTGTGCTGTTCTATTGCAGCTCCATAAACGTAAGCAAGCTGGAACCAGAGCTGAGAGCTCAGATCCATGAGCAAAACCCCAGCGTAGAAGTGGTCTACTACAACAAGGGGCTTTGAGGAGGGTCAGCCTCTGTCCCCTCCCTCAGTTCCTTGGGCTGCTGCTTTAGTGGAGTCATGTCACCCCTGCCACTTGCCTATCTGCCTAGCACTGCGTAGGGGCCTTGGTGGGCAGATGGCCATTGAGGGTAGCAACCTATTAGGGTGGGGGAGGTACCACCATAAGGCTTTTCCTCCCCTCTCTGGTTTCAAAGAGCAGAACGCATAACCCCTCCCTCCTGTGCTTGAGTGTCCACACATATACATACATGATACATATGTGCATTTGTACATTGGGTCCTGAAAGCTAGGAGCAGGCATGCTAGCCTAGTATGTTCTGACATCTGGCTTCCCTTCTCAGCCTCATGTCTACCTGCCTGCCAGCCAGGCTACAGGTGGGACTTCCTTCTCTAAACTGTTATACCAGCCAAGTTATATCTGATGGCACCTCATCCCTTCTAGACATAGGAGGAGCCCCAGGATCTCAGGACAGAGACTTATAGACACTAGTAGGCCAAAGTGGGCTGAATCCTTCAGGTTTCTGATATCTAGCTCCCCAAGCTGACTGGGCTGGCAGAGGAGAACATGTTTGGACAAGGGAGGCAGGGGACTTATGCATCCCTCAGTGCCATCCCCTGTATTCTGGAATAGCTCTGTTTCACCTCCTCCTCTCTACCAGACGAAGGAGCACCTGTGTCCTGTACTGCCCTCGCTGTCTCCCCCAGCACCCTACTTGGCAGCGTGGGCATCTTCAGGCACAGTCTTAGGAGTTCCTGGTGTGCTCTGACATCATGACCTCAAATCTAAATCCTACAATCCCAACTCCTTTTCCCAAACAAAAAGCCACAGAGGCAGAGCAAGCATTCCCCTTTAAGAGCTCCCACTGCACCCCCTCCCAAGGGACACAGCTGTAGGAATGGTGCTTAAACTCCACAGGTATCAGAGAGGGTGTAACTAGGACATCCTCAAGGGCAGCTAGGCCCCGAATGTACAATGTTAAGACAGGGAATTTTGTGTTCCATTGACTTTTTTTTTTTTCTTTTTTTTGGACGGAGGTTCACTATTTTGTCCAGGCTGGAGTGCAATGGTACGATCACTGCAAGCCCCGCCTCCTGGGTTCAAGTGATTCTCCTGCCTCAGTCTCCCAAGTAGCAGGGATTACAGGTGCGTGCCACCACATCTTGCTAGTTTTGTATTTTTAGCAGAGACAGGGTTTCACCATGTTGGTCAGGCTAGTCTCAAACTCCTGACCTCAGGTGATCCACCTGCCTTGGCCTCCCAAAGCGCTGGGATTACAGGCACGAGCCACCGCACCCAGCCTGTTCCACTGACATTTCTTAGACATTCAGCAAAACCCCCACCTTAACCTCTTTTCTTTCTTGAGGGTTGGTCCTGTCCCTACCTCCACCCTCCCACCCCCTGGAAGAGGAAGGGCCCGGGCATCAGTGGCTAGTCCAAATAAAATATGGGCTTGGGGATGGAATGGGTGGTGGCATTCCATCCCCAAGTGTAGTTAGATCCCAACTCCCATGACCTCTGGCTTCAGTGGTAGGTGGGGCAGGGCAGATAAAAGGGCTTCAGTGGGAACCTCTGAGAGCATTTGTTCCCCAAAGGGGAACTCTGAGAGTGAGAACTGATGCAGTTCCCCCCATCAACCGCCCCCAGTGATAACATCTATGAAGTCAGCCATTACTCAATAAACTGCAAACTTGTCTACTTCTTGGTCTTCACTTGATTCCATGTCCTGAGGGCCCAGAAAGAGTCCCCTGCCTGCAGCCTTCCGTCTCTCCCCACTGAATGCAGGTCTTGTCTCATTCCTCCCCTTGTGTAGGGAGCCTCAACCCCCAGCAGAGGGAGCTCTGAGATTAGAAAATCAGTCCTCCCGCTGTCACACCAAGTATGTACTATAAGGTAGACAGGGAATGTAGATGCTTTCACCTTCTTTTTTTCTTTTCCTTTTCCTTTTTCTTTCTTTCTTTTTTCTTTTCTTTCTTTCTTTCTTTTTTCTTTGAGACAGGGTTTCACTGTATCGCCCAGGCTGGAGTGCAGTGGCACGGATCAGCGGCTCACTGCAGCCTCGACCTCACCAGTTCAGTTGATCCGCCTGCCTCAGCCTCCCAAGTAGTTGGGACTACAGGCACGTGCCACCAAACCCAGCTAATTTTCTGTATTTTTTTATAGAGATGGTTTTTGCCATGTTGCCCAGGCTGGTCTCCAATTCCTGGGCTCAAGCCATCCACCTGCCTTGGCCTCCCAAAGTGCTGGGATTACAGGCGTGAGCCACAGTGCCCGGCCTAGATAACCAGTTTTAATTTCATCCTGTCCTGTCAATCACTAAGCCCACTGGAATCCTTGGTCAACTCTTAAAGCTCTTTCTGCAGTTACACTTTTGGCCTTTGGCAATCCCCTTGAAAAGAGGCCTTGTATTGCCAAAAACTGCAATCACTTTTGCACCAACCTAATACTTTTACTGGAAAATCTATGTAACATAACCCCATCTAGGGAGTGAGGTACAGAAATCTCTGCAAAACAAAACCCTTAAGAACATTTTGTAACAGAGTTATCTGTGCTGCACAGATAACACTAAACCATGTCAGAGAAAAGATTGGCCAGGGCACTAGTGGGCTTCTCTGTCATCTTTCCTTCCTAATTCCACACCAGTTTCTCAGACACATCAAAAGAGTTAGCTATAGGGCACATCACAGACTCTCTAGGGACAAACCTTAGCCAGTTATACCTTCCAAACTGCCTGCTTATACTTGGAAATTTCCTCAGAAGTCAGCATTTGGGCTGAAGGGCAGCACCTTTTTCACTGGAAAGTGCTCTGCCCCATTCTCCCGTGGGCCTCCTGTCTTCCTCCCAGACCTCAGACTCCAGGAACCTTCTCTGGAAGCCCGCATTGGTGTCCTTGGCCTTCCCTCCCATCTTCTTCCCCTTGCCTGGCCTCATTTGCTCCAGAGCCCCCATCCTGCCTATTATGAAGACCGGAAAGACCACAACCTTCCCTCTCTCCCTGCCCATGTTCTAAGTCTAGCCTGGCCATAGGGAGGTGGTCAATTACGGATATCCTGCTCCTTTCCAGGATCACCGGAACCAATGACACAGGCTTCCTAAGGACAAGTAATCAGGGCCAGCTTCAGCTCTGGCACTGTGGGGCTCTGACAGACTCTAGCCTAGTCCTGCTGGGTCTGGTGCCCTACAAGTCAGAGCCAAGCCCCATTTCCTCTCAGTGAAGCTTGTCCATTTTAAGCCCTGCCCCCGGGCCCTCGCGGTCAAAGGTAAGCCACGCCCCTCTGGGTGCAGACAGTTCAGAAGCAGAGTCCCGCCCCTGATGTGGTCCCTGTCAGTCAGTTAAGCTAGGCTCCGCCTCCTTCCCGTTTCCCGAGCAACGGCTTTAGTGCCTCAGGCCGGGAGTCTCCCTCACCTTCTGGGTCGGAGCTTGGAAGCTACGTCTCAGATCCGCTTTCTCGCTGACCTCGATCCTGGGTCGCTAAATCCACCAAGTCCCCGTCCCTCCTTTCCAATTTCGAAACCCACGAGTTCCCTAGCGCCAGCACTTTGACTTCCTGCCCAGAAATCCGCGAGGTTTTTGAGGAATCACGCGAGGACTCTCCTCCTGGATCCCAAGCCCGGATTTTTTCAGCTGCCTCTGAGGCTGCCGGCTCTTTCTCCGGCGCCGCCCTCCTCCTTTCCCTCTCTCCACCCTTGCGCCTAACAGTCCAGGAAACGTTCGCTGAACTCTTAATTGTGGTTCTGTGGCCGGCGCTGGGTAGAAATGGGCGGTTGGGTGAACAGAGAAGCTACCCTTCCACCTGCAGGTACACAGCGCGTGCCCGAAAGGCATGAAGGACAACTGTTTGCTAGGAACTGGGGAGGAATCTTGATTCAGCTCTATCATCCCCAAAAGGGGAGTTTCCTAAGATGCTCTCTTCTCTCTTCCTTTATACACATCTTTTCCCTCATTGGGGCTCTCCTAGGCTCCAGTCCCAGCTCAGGCTGCCAGACAAAAGCAGCCTCTGCTGCAGGCCACAGCCTCCGGTAGCTTCCTCCTTCCTCTTCTCAGACCAGCAATGTTTGCAACTGAATAACGACCTGGAGAAGGCGGGAGGAACCCTGCATAGCTTGGACTACACACACAACCCCATATCCAAAACCTCCAGTAGGAAAATAACCCCATGCCTTTAATAAAGAAACGAAAAGCTCCTTGAGGCTGAAGTGCTTGCTTATGGGGCAAGAGTTTGCTATGTTAACCTATAAATTAACCAGCTATGTTATTTTCCTTCCGACTTCCCCTCCTCTATCACCAGCCAGTCCTCATCAATTGACAATTTTTATTTACCAAAAAGAACACTTTGGTTTGGGTTTTGAGATTATCTTGTTGAAACCAACAGAAAATAATTGTGGCTAGCTTCACTAAATAGGGGGAGATATTGGAAAGATTCTGCTATAGTTTTCATACCTAGAGATGGAGGTTAATAACGGGACTGGAAAGGACAAAGCTAGTTGTGAGGGTGTCAGCAGCTGGAGTTTATGGGCATGGCAATCCCCTTGAAAAGAGGCCTTGTATTGCCAAAAACCGCAATCACTTTTGCACCAACCTAATACTTTTACTGGAAAATCTATGTAACATAACCCCATCTGGGAAGCGAGGTACAGAA